GGCAACCCCTTCTGATAAACATACACTCTCACAGCCCGCCTGGAGAGGAAACACAGGGCCGCCCTGCTGAGTAGCCCCACCAGCCAAGAAGTTTTAGTGGAACCAGAAAAACAGGTATAGATTCTGTCTTCCAAACAGAAATTATAATCCACTATTAAAGCCTCCCCATTCCCTGCCCAACGGCCTTAGCAATACAAATGCCCCGACTGAAGACATTACCTCTCATGATGACACAATCCAGCTCCATGTATTGTGGGGATAATACAAATCAGGAAAATTCAAGAATGCACGACTTTGCGCTGGTCAGAATGGCCATCACTAAAAAGTCTACAAATAACAAATGCTGGAGAGGGTGTAGGGGAAAGGGAACCCTCCTACACTGTTAGCTGGGAATGTAAGTTGGTGCACCCACTGTGGAAAACGGTATGGAGGTTCCTCAGAAAAGTAAAAATAGAATTACTGTATGATCCAGCAATCCCTCTCCTGGGCATATATCCAGACAAAACTATAATTCAAATAGATACAGGCACCCTTATGTTCATAGCAGCACTATTCACAATAGCCAAGACGTGGAAACAACCTATAGGTCCAGTGACAGATGAATGGATAAAGGAGATGTGGTACATATGTACAATGGAATATTAGCCATAAGAAAGAACAAAATAATGCCATTTGCAGCAACATGGATGCAACTAGAGATTATCATCCTAAGTGAAGTAAGTCAGAAAAAGACAAATACTATATATCACCTATATGTGGAATCTAACATATGACACAAATGAACCGATCTATGAAACAGAAATAGAATCAGGGACATAGAGAACAGACTGGTGGTTGCCAAGGGGGAGGGAGATAGGAGAGGGTTGGATTGGGAGTTTGGGATTAGCAGATGCCAACTGGTATATATGGAATGGATAAACAACAAGGTCCTACTGTATAGCACAGGAAACTATGTTCAATCTGTGATAAACCATAATGGAAAAGAATATGAAAAAGAATTTATATATATGTATAACTGAGTAAATTTTCTATAATTAACACAACATTGTAATTCAACTACACTTCAATGAAAAATAAATTTTAAAAAATAAAGTTTATCATTCTTAAAATAAAATAAAATAAAATTTGGAAGAATATAAAAAAGAATGTGTGACTTTGAAGGTCTATACATGAGAAAGTCTGGGAAGAGCTGACTGAGGCAGTGGTTCTCGAAGTGTGGTCCCCAGACCAGCAGTATCAGCATCACCTGGGAACTTGTTAGAAACTCATATTCTTGGATCCCACCCAGTTCTACTGAATCAGAACCTCAGGGATGGGGCCCAGCTATCTGTATTTTAAAAAGCCCTCTGGGTCATTTGGATGTCCACCACAATTTGAGGACCACTTGTGTTGTAGACTGAAGAAAGGAGAGGGGTGGCAAACGCAGTCATTTCTGAATAACTCTTTTCTCCAGCTGAGACTCCAGCAATAATCCAGGCAAGGAGAGAAAGAGTCATGCAGCTTGGGAGTATCGGCCTGACAAAGGCTAACTTGCCCTCATTCATAGTTCCCTTTCCTACGGCAGGCTGAGCCCTAGTCCAGAGTCCCGGGTGACACGTTGTATTTTCTTTTCTTTTTTTTCTTTTTTGGGCATCCCCGTTATGGCATGCGGGATCTTAGTTCCCTGACCAGGGATCGAACCCGTGCCCCCTGCATTGGGAGCATGGAGTCTTAACCACTGGACCGCTAGGGAAGTCCCAGAGGCCCGGGTGAAATAGAACACAGTAAATTCAAAGGTTGCCTTTGACTACCTTGGATTTTAATTTCCCAGGCATGTCCTTCAAGCCAGCTTCACCTAGAACAAGCTCAGAGTCTCCCTAAAAAGAGAGAAAAGAAAGTGATTGCTGGCTCCCTCCCCCACCCGCTTGCCTTGAAATTGTTTTCTTCCATCCTAGCCTGCTGGCTTTAATTAGGAGGAGTGAAGGCAGCATGCGGACTGGAGACAGCAGGCAGTCTCAGCACAGAAATGTGTTCAATAAACAGGTTTGGATAATCAGAGGCCACCACATCTCTGTGTCTGCATCCTCGTCGTCCCCCCGCCCCCCCACCTTCCTTCCTGGCTTCTCCCTCCCCATCTTGTTTGTCTTACCATTTACACCTCATTAGTTATAAGGAAGCCACCAGCTCAGAGTCCTGTTGCTATGGGCTTGGGAGACAGTCTGTCTTCCAGAGAGGCTGAGGGCCAGGAGGCAGGAAGTCAGGACAAATGAAATCATACTGCATGTTCACAATCGGCTATAATTAAGGCATCTTATAAATACATATTATACAAATGCATTACAATGACAAAATCAGCCACATTTGAGTGCCTTTATACTCTGGACAATAGAGGGTACTTTTTTGGACCCAAGAGGTATCTGCTATATTGAAAAGAGCATTAAGTGCATATTACTAAGTGAAAGAAGCCACCTGAAAAGGCTACATGCCTTGCGATTCCAACTCTATGACATTCTGAGAAAGGTAAAACTAAGGAGACAGTAACAAGACCTGCGGTTTTTAGAGGCAGGAGAGAGAGAGAGATAAACAGATAGAGCACAGAGGATTTTTAGGGCAGTGAAACTATTTGGTATGATTTTATGATGGATCTATGTCATTCATACATTTGTCCAAACCCATGAAACGTACAACACCAAGAGTGAACCCTAGTGTCTGTCAACTAAGACTTTGAGTGATGGTGAAGTATCCGTGTAAGTTCATTGATTGTAACAAATGTACCGCTGTGGTCGGGGGCTATTGTACATGTGTGGGAACAGGGAATGTATGGGAACTTTCTGTATTTTCTGCTCCATTTTGCTATGAACCTAAAACTGCTCATAAAAAATAAAGTTTAGGGACTTCCCTGGCAGTCCAGTGGTTAAGACTACACGCTTCCACTGCAGGGGCACGGGTTTGATCCCTGGTTGGGGAACTAAGATCCCACATGCTGCACGGCATGGCCTAAAAAATTTTTTTTAAATTTAAATAAATAAAATTTATTCATAAAACAAAAAAGTATTAAACTTGGACTCAAAATATATGGAGTCTAATTCTATCATGGTCTTGGCCGCAGTCCGGCTGTGCCAACTTGGACAAGTTACTCGGCTTCTCTGGGCCTCAGTGGCATCATCTACAAAAATGAGAATGATAATATCCTCCAGATAGAAATGTTGCAAAGGTTAAAATGAAGTAATAAGTGTAGACATACAGTCAATGTTTGTCTAGCTAAGAATAATAGGAGAATTATATGAGGAATTTGGGGCAGAGTCTGGGACTAGAATTCCAGACTGCCGTACTGAAAGAGGCAGGGCCAGCCCAGACGGCACCACCTATATTATTACCTGATTTGAGATATGTTTTTTTCTCCACCATTGAAAGCTATCTGCCCCACTGCCCTGCTGGAAACTTGAAAAGCAAACAGTAGCTACTCCTGGGAGTAGCATATTTGGTTTTTAGGACCAAAATACAGTAAGTCCCCTACATACGAATGAGTTTCATTCCGAGAACGCATTTGTAAGTCCAGTTTCTTCATTAAGTCCAGCAAAGTTAGCCTAGATACCCAACTAACACAATCGGCTATATAGTACTGCACTGTAATAGGTTTATAATAATTTTCACATAAATAATACATAAAAAACAAACACAAAAAATTAAAAAACATTTTTATCTTACGGCACAGTACCTTGAAAAGTACAGTACAACAGCTGGCACACAGGGGCTGGCATCAAGTGAACAGGCAAGAAGAGTTACTGATGGGAGGAGGGAGAGGAGGTGGGAGAAGGTAGAGCTGAAGGATCGTCAGCAACAGGAGATGGAGGGCAAGCTGCCATTTCCCTCACGCCTGACGCTGATGGAGCGCATGTTCACATCTTTGAAAGTTCAAAACTTGAAGGATTGTATGTAGGGGACTTAACTATATATTATACTGTAAACACCTCAAAGGGCAAAACAATGAATGATAGCATCGCAGCAGGGATGATTAACATTATCTACCTAAAAGCAAAGTCCCCAAAGAACAGAACACAGAATGTATACGTTTTTATAAAGGGGGTGGACAGAAAATCTAAAAATATCTAGAAGCTCAAGGCATTGCCTGGGAAGGTAGATAAGTTTACAAGGTCAGAATGAGTAGAGGAGAATTTTTAAGGCGAGGGCACAAAACTCAGAGAGGAAATCAATCAAAAAGCAAGCAACCCACATCCTGAGCACCTATACTGTGCAAGCCATTGTTCTACGTATTGGGAATACATCACTGATGGACACAGCAATTCATGGAACTTACATCCTGGTGAACGTAAGGAACAGACCAAAAAACAGGTAAATAAGTAAACATAACTAAGCTGATATTGTATATTAAAAGGTAATATATTCTATAGAAAAAAAGTAAAGGTAAAGAATGATTGGAGGAATAAAGAGTGGGAGATTCCATTTTAAATAGGATGATCAAGGAAATGATCATTGAAAAGATGAGTAAAGCGTTGAAGGAGGGGAGGGAGTTAGCCACACAGATCTCAGGGGAGAAGAGCTTTCCAGGCAAAGGGGACATCTAGAGCAAAAGCCCAGGTGGGAGCTTTCTGGGCTGTTCCAGGAATAATGAAACCAGTACAGTTGGAGCTGGGTCAATAAGGAAGAGACTAGAGGACAAGAGGTGAAAGAGCTGAAGGGGCTGAATCATGCAGGGCCTCGCAGGCCACTGTAAGGAATTTGGTTTCACGCTGTAGTAGGGAGCTATGACCAGGTTGTGAGCCAAAGTGGCCCGATCTGGATTATGATCAGATGGACCACGTTGACTATTGTGCGAAGAACAGACTGAGGCCTACAGAGACAAAGGTAGAAGCAGGTGAGCTTCTGGGAGACCCTTAGATTGAACTCCACAGGCAAGCACTGACAGTGGTTGAGCCAGGATGACAGCAGTGGAGGCATGAAGAGGTTTAGCTCCTGTCTAGATGCTGAGGGTGGGACCACCAGGCTCACCAGAAGGAGTGATGTACAAGGTCCTGGACCTGAGCTACTGGAAGGATGAAGTGGCTGTCAACTTGTCAACTGAGACAGGGAAGACTGCCACTGAGCAGGTGTGGGTGGAAAATCAGGAGTTTGGGATGAAGTGGCAAGAGGAGGTGTGGGCTTAGAGGGGATGCAGAAAGCACAGACCTCACACCTCCCACATCTCCCTGTAGCTTGGCCTGGATGTAAGATGCAGCACATCATTTATCGATGCCATTGGCCTTCAGCAGGAATCATCCTGAAGTATATTTTAAGCTCTCAGTTTCCCCCATGCAATGGAACAAACAAATCTAAAGAAACAAAGATCGAAAGAAGCATGAGTGTATTTGGTTCCCCCGATATGAATGTCTCCCCCTGCTCACGCCCACTGCCTCTGCCACCTCTCCAAGAGTGTTGTCGAACCCAAGTTCATGTGCCTGACGCACAGTGAGGCCAAACAAGCTGAAACATCAGAGTCTGGAGGTGAGAAAGGTTTATTGCAGGGCCAAGCAAGGAGAATGGGCAGCTTGTGCTCAAAAAGCCCAAACTCTCAGATGGTTTTGGGGGAAGAGTTTTTAATCAGCAAAATTTGAGGGGAGGTCTGCAAGGTATGTGACCATCCTCTGATTGGTTGGTGGTGAGGTGAGAGGGTGGCGTTCCAGGCATCAGCCTTCCGATTCCAACCAGTCTGGGTTCACGTGCTTGTGCTCAGCCTGAAGTGACCATCCCCTACCTGGGTGGGGGCCTTCGTTCCTGTAGAAGAACTCAGAGATGTGTATGAGATCGTCACGTACATCACCCAAGGAGGGACCAGGACCCTAGCCCATCATTGCACTATTGTTACTTTCTGCATCCCCTCACTTCCCTAATTAGGATCTGTTTGAATCTGCCCCTTGGAAGTCAGGGAAAGTCGAGGAGGCTGAAAGTCTTTTTCCTACAAACAAGAAATGGGGGGCATGGAAAGCCTTTTATACCTGGTAAGGCCCACAAGGTCCCGCTCGATTTCAAGAGGACAGCCAAGTGTCCCCGGAGTCACATTCAATTAGATTGTAAGTCATCACATCCATCCCCCTAGACAGCAGGGCTGGTTATCTCCTAAGGCATCCTCTGGTGCCCACCATGCCCACTCACTCACCCCCTCAAAACATGTTCATGGAAGGGGATCTAATAAATCAACTCACAGTAGGGGGTAAATGAGTAAAAGAAGAAACAAGTGAAAACACTCCTCCCCTAGGGATACTGGAGCTTTAAAGTAGCCAACACCCTAAACCAAGGGACAAAGTAATGAAATATCTGGCCACAGACTAAGGGAATGTAAGGGTCAGTGACCTTGGACTCACACTCCTCTGTGGCCGCCTCCTGAGAAAATAGTAGGGCTGCCCATACAACTCAAGGTGGTTTCCTTGACTGTTCCAGAAGGAGGATGTGGAGTCCCCTGGGGGTAAACACATTTCCTGCTTGCCTGCACTGTATCCTTTTTCTGCAGAGCACATGTCCCACACATACACAGCCGGAATGCTAGGCCTGCATGCAGGGACTCTTCTGTGACTCTGCTCCAATAAATACCTAGCTCACAATGGTCTCGTTCCTTTTGCCCCTTGGCTGTGAGACCCCAGAAGATACCACGTGTGTGCACGTGCCTGCATGCATGTGTGTGTTGTCTGCACAATGACCTTCCGAGTTCTTCAACTGTCTGGACACCCCAGGGTCAGCTAAGCAACAGCAAGGCTGGTGAAACAAGAAGGGAGCCCTCGGGACTTCCCTGAAAGTCCAGTGGTTAAGACTCCATGCTTCCACTGCAGTGGGCGCAGGTCCCCGTTTGGGGAACCAAGATCCGCATGCTGTGTGGTGTGGCCATAAAATAAAATTAAAAAAAAAAAAAAGAAGGGAGCCCTCTGGCTCTGAGCTAGCAGGAGCTTCCCCCACACCCTGGGGGTCTCTCCGGTACCAGTCACTCACTCAGCAGGAGGCTGACAGCCACCACCAGCAACAATCACAGCTCCTCCATGTTTTTCCAGGCTGTAATGTTCAATCAATCCATCAGGTGTGCCGCCCACAGAAACTGGGCCTGCCAGCTCACTTCAGGGGTTTGAGGGAAGCAATCCCCATGTCAGCTCCTTCTCTGGGCAGTTTTATTTGAGTCCAGTCCACTTTGTGAAGCCATTACACATCAATCCTCCAGGGGTCTTTCCTCCCTCGATGGCTTTGGGCTGCACTTGGCTAATCAGTAACTCCCAGGCAAGCCACATATATTCTGAAATGCACCCACACAGAAATAGGCTTCCCCGGGGAGCAGGGAGCATCCTCCCCCAGACACTTGGAAAGATACATACCCCCTGGGGCACAGGACCACTGGCAGTACCACAGCCTCGCTGACCAGGTCACGTGGTGCCTGAAGAAATGACATGTCAGAGGAAAAGAGAACATCCATCAACAGTGTCCCCTCTTGACCTAATCAAACTTACAAGCTTTTGCACAGCAAAGGAAACCATAAACAAAATGAAAAGACAACCTAGAGAATGAGAGAACATATTTGCAAATGATGCAGCAGACGAGGGCTTCATCTCCAAAATATACAAACAGCTCATACAACAACAAAAAAACAAACAACCCAATCGAAAAATGGGCAGAAGACCTTAACAGACATTTCTCCAAAGAAGACATACAGATGGTCAGTAGGCACATGAAAAATGCTCAACATCACTAATTATTAGAGAAATGCAAATCAAAGCTACAATGAGGTATCACCTCACACCAGTCAGAATGGCCATCATCAAAAAGTCTACAAATAAATGCTAGAGAGGGTGTAGGGAAAAGGGAACCCACCTACACTGCTGGTGGGAATGTAAGTTGGTGCAGGGAGAGGGATGGATTGGGTGTTTAAGGTTGGTAGATGCAAACTATTACATTTAGAATGGATAAACAAGAAGGTCCTAATGTATAGCACAGGGAACTATATTCAATATCCTGTAATAAACCATAATGGCAAAGAATATAAAAAAAGAATGTCTCTATGTGTATAACTGAGTCACTTTGCTGTACAGCAGAGACTGACACAACATTATAAATCAACTACACTTCAGTGAAAAAAAATTGAAAAAAAAACAAACAATGCAAGCAGGCAGGCCACAGTAGATGAAAGGACAATGGTTTTGTTCATTTGCATTTTGTTTTCAATAAAAAAGAAACAACTGGTAAACCATAATAGTCCAGTGTCCTGGGCTATTTCAGGCTGTGCTGCTATCCATATTAGGTGACTTTATTTTAGATGTTTTTTAATGTCTTTTTAGAGGTAACTGATCTTGAATCTTATGTTTTCTCCTTCCAAGCCCACTTTAATTTCTTATTCACACTTGCCTGACTGTCCATTCCACCTACCCAATACATATGCACTTTAAACAAATTCAGCATCCTTCTAGAAGAGACCAGAAAGGCCAGACCTTGTGAAATCCTCTTGGTTAATTCCACTGAGGCACTGGGGGTGTATAATAAAACTTAGCAATCAATAAAAAGAGGGAAATCCAGGAAAGAAAATGCATACAGAGACAGATGACAGACGCAAAGACACGTCTATGGAAACTCCACACAAATAGGCTGTATCCCCACACTTATGCCTCAAAATAAAAAACCCCATTGCCTCACTCCAAGCAATGAGCTCCATCCCATGCCGGAAAGCAGGGAAGTGGCATATGCTCAGGAGTCCAGCGTCCATATTTAATTTATTAACAGGTAAGACAGCAGAGGCATCACTTTGAACTGCAGACATCAATATGATTTAAACGGCTGCCACTTAATGTGGTGAAAAGGAATCAACTGTGCCCTGAAAACAGAAAACAAGGAGGGGCATCATCCTGTCGGTTTCCTGGGAAATAATGAGCCCTATTAATAGTTGTTAACATGAATCAACGGATCACTCCTCTGTCAGCGGCTGTCAGGCTGGGCCCCCGAGTCAATCAGTAAAGAGAAAGAAAGCTGACGATTCAGGGCAAGACTCAGCAAGGGAAGGTGCCAGGTCATTGGCCCCTGTTCCAACCAGAGCCAGCTACTGCCTACAAGGAAGGAGAGGAGGACTCAGCATGGCAACAAGGCCCCAAGGAGATGCACACCAGTTAGAGACATAAAGATCAACCAGAAACCCCCCTACAGGGCCTCACAGCCAAGAAGAAGTCATAAAGGGCAGGGCTCCTGGCCCCCTAAAGACCAAGAATTTAGACCTGCTAATATCATGCTAATAAAAGGGTTTGTGAGGCCGGGTCTAACCTGCTAGGAAGACTACCAGGTTTTGTTTGGGGTACAGCTTGAGTTCTGATGGTGTGGCCCTCCACCGTGTATATGACTGTACAGGTGTGTTTTTCCTCTCCATTTCTACCAGTTTAAAATATACTCGCACAAAACATTTTGCGACATCCATGTCAAAGGACAAATAGCCTTAATAATTAAAGAGCTGCTAAGCTCCTGCAAATCACAAAGCATTAGCATTAATAATAACTAATATTTATGAAAACCTTACTACATGCCAGGCATAGCCTAAAAGCTTTAAATTATCTCCCTTAAATCTCTCAGATACTTTAGGAGGTAAATAATGTTATACCCATTTGGTAGATGGAAAAACTGAGGCTTAGATGATTTGAGTAACTTGCTCAAGCTCTCACAACCAGCAGATGATGAAACAATATTTCAGACCAGGTCTGTCTGTTGAAAGTCTGTACTTTTACACTATGTCACATCAATTTTTCACAGGCGGCCCACAAAGAAAGAAATATGTGACCAAAACACATTTTTAAAACATTTCATTGTGATAGTAACCAAAAAGTCTAAACCAAAAGAATAATGATGAATTTATTTATTTGCTTATCAGGTAAACGAAGATGAAGATTAACAAAGCCTAGTGATAATGGCTCTATGGAAACACTAACTCACTTACGCAGTGTTGGTGAGCATGCCAGTTATAAAATCATCCTGGAAGGTAGCTTTTTCAAAATATATAAAAATGTAATTTATGCATGCTCTTTGAAAATCTCCACTCCCAGGAATTACCTTTATGGGATATTTAAATGAGTAAGATAAGATTAAAAGACATTAATCACAGTATTGTTTTTAAGAGCAAAATACTGTAAACACATAAATGTCCATT